AAATCTTCAATAAATTCCTTAAAATCTTTAATAAATCACTTTAAAATACTCATAAAATCTCAAATAAATACCTAATAAATCTCTTTTAAAAATTTAAAACCCACTTAAACTTAAGAGTCTTCGCTACTAGAAAATAAGCTATCAGTAATGTGGCTCGATGTTGGTGATATTCTAAATTACATTGCCGAAAATGCCTTAGTATTGTACAATGTGTCAATCATGCTTGTTTGGGTAGCTTCACGATCTAATACTATAGACACCTTTAGCTGCTTCAACACTTGAAATTCCTAAGGATGTTTCCTCGGGAAAAACACTCCAATGCTCAAGTTAGCAACACTCAATATTTTAGAGAGGGATGCTCTCAAAGAGTAGTTGCAGAGAGAGAAGCGTAGTGGAGTTAATACCTTGCATGGAGGTAGTTGGGGGTATTTATAGCCCCATATACTGACATGAGTCCAGACATATATGCATCCAATTGGCCCACATGTTACTACCGATGTGGGTATGTCTCCTTATTTTGGGCTCGTGAGTATACAATTGGGCCTGTTGTATATGGCCCGGATTGGATGTTGGGCCTAATCCCAACATTACTCCCCCCTCAGTGTTTGGTTGACGAACTGGGTTGAGGGTTCCAATGGTCCAATGGTTGACCTGGAGGGTGGGTAGTGAACATCTTTGGATTTTATGAGCGACCTCACCCATGGCCGAACTGGGCGGCTTGAATTCAGGGCGATCTCATCGGGTGTGCATGCATATACTGATTTCCTATCGAGCGTGTGTAGGCGAGCTGGTGTTGAAACAATTTTTATGTGTGAGTTCGGTGTTCATCGGCAAGTTCAATGAACTTACAAGGGCGAGCTCATATAATGAGTTTCCAGTTTCCAAATGAGGTAGATCTAGGAAGAGATGAGATCTCTTGGCACGACGTTTGTTACATACAAGGTGCCGCGTGTTATGTAGTGAGCTCGTCTACATTAACGTGAAAGCGAGCAAGCATCAGACGATCTGGACCACAATAACCTTTCAAAAGTTCTCAAGCAAAGCATTAAGGTTGCCATGCTATTATGAGATTAAGCTAAAATAAAAATGAGAGGATGTGAATACTAAGGCGAGCTGAAGCGTGCGACCTCAATTGTCCTAGTAAAATAGATTGCCAAGGTATGGAACAAATATGAGGAAGTTGGTAACGACCTGATCTTAGGGATTTTTCAACTTTTAAACTAAAGCAAATCTCTGAGGAGATGCACTTTGTTACGACCTGATCCTTTAGGATTTTTCAACTTTTCAACTAAAGCAAATCTCTAAGGAGATGTGCTTCAGAGCGTTTGGTATTCTTCTGCTACACGGATATCCTTCTGCCTTCTCACAATAAATGCTGGCTCAGCATTTGAGGGGATGTGACAGCTGCAGGCGGTGGGTTTTATGGACTAAATCGTAAATGGCTGTCATGTGTAGGCGTTTAATTGGTAGGCCAGAAACATGGGTACGACATTTACGGGAGTGCGATTTGTGAGAAAAGCAATAGAAACATTCACTTAGCCATTTCTCTGTTTCATCCTTCTGTTTCTTTGCCCGTTCTTTTTTTTCTTTTTTGGCAGGAAGGTTTCCGGGGTGGTTTCAGGGTTTTTCTTCGGACTTTTCCATTGAAGGGCCTTTGGTTTTCCAAACTTTAGTTTAAATTGGTTTTTTTTCCGGTTTTAGGGGGGTTTGAGGTTACCCGGGGGAGGGAGGAGAATAGGGGGTTATATCGGTGGAACCGATTAGAATGATAGTACCGTCGGAACTACAAGATTTGCCCGAAACCATTGCACCAGAGAGCAGCGCTGGTTCGAGTGTCGATGGTGATTCTGACAACCACTGTTCTTCAGCCTCTAGAGATTCGTCTACCGAGGGGACACCCAGTGAAGTGGGGGATGCTGAAGAAGGTGCTTTTAGTCCACCGACGACAAATACAGAGGTGGACGCAGTTGTATTCGAAGAATGGGAGAATAAGGTTATTAGCGGGAGGTTGGATAACCTTCGTAAAGCACCAAAGACTCTCCCTGCCGGTTTTAGGTTCAGGGCGGCATTGCATCATGAAGTTGTAGATAGCTCGGCCACGGTGAAGGGGTATAAGAAGTTAAAGGAAATGGTAAGGCAATACCAAATCCCAAGAACCATTTTAATCCAAGCTGGGACCCAAAATGAGAGGGCGTGTATAGTGTCTAGGATGGGTTGGGTGCCAATATACATAGACCATTTTGAGGTCGGTCTACGTTTTCCTCTACCCGAGTTGATTTTTGACGTTTTGGCAAAGTACAAGTTGGCCCTAATGCAGTTGACCCCCAACAGCATAAAGTTCATTATAGGATTTATGTTGTTGTGTGAGAGGTTAGAGATACCTGTGAAGACGCTAGTTTTTAGGTTGCTCTTCTTGTGTTGCCTATGCCCCTCCACAAGCGGAACGAGGTGGTATTATATCTCCAGGAGGGAAAAGATGATGATTTTTACAAACATCAAAAATAAAGTGGCAAGGTGGAAGAGGCAATTCATTTTTTTTGGTGACACGTGGACAGAGAAGATGAATAATGAGCTCACCACCCGTGTATCCGAGTGGCGTGTGCCAAACACATACATGAACTACCCTTAGCTGGCCCCTCGTGATGTCAACCTGAAAAATCGACTGCTAGATTATGTTAAGGCTAAGGGTTTAGTAGATTTAGAAGCCCTGGTTATCCTGGAGCAGCTCGCATTACTTGGGTTTGTTGATGTGACAAACCTGTATGCTGAAGGTATATCTCTATTGCATACTGTAACTTTTAGCCGATCTGAGTCTTATGCATTTGTTTGTGTAGGAGAAATGAGTAGCATACTAGAGAGACAACGTCAACGAGCACAAAATTCCAAAAATCGTGGGGCTGGGTTGGGCTCCCAAAGGCAGGCTCGATTTGACGAGCGTCCACCTACTGCACCATCTTGCAGCTCGTCTCAAAGGGAGCAAGGCTCGAGCTTAGTGTCCAGATCTTGGGCTAAGTAGGGAGTTCAGACTCAGCCTTCAGATTCTCGAAGGCGTGCTCGTGATGACTTTGATGCAAAGGATGATATTCCCCTCATTTGGAGGAGGACGAGCTCGAGGGCTCAGCCTGTTTCAGCCGCTGCGACGCGGTCCACCAACATGCCACCGGTGCCGGCACATGATGTTGCTGAACCAGCGCCTGCCTCAACATCCGTATCGGGGCCTAAGATTGCATACCCTGAGGGCTTCAATTATGTTAGAACTGACTACCAAGCCGCCATGGTGCAGGGTATGCATAGTTTTGTGCCCCTTGCAGATCGACAGCGTGCAAAAGGGCACGTTCAGCAACACGGGGGTCATGCTGTCTTGCTGAAATTGATGGATGTGAGTATTCTCAGTAAGCATATTATTATGCCTTTAAAGGTTTATATTAGGAACTAACGGTTGAACTTATGTGGCAGGTGTTCAGCTACACTATAGCACTCTTTGAGTGCGAGCAGGAGGCACGTGGGCAGAACCGTGAGCTCCAGCAGAGCTGCAAACAACTGGCCTTTGAGAAGGCAAGCTTAGAGGATGAGGTCTGTTGTTTGTAGAGCTTGAAGATGGCAAACAAAGCAGCGTCAGTAGAAAGCCGAGCTGATGAGTTGGCCCGCAAGGTCAACGAGCTAAAAGAGGAGCTGGAGAAAGCTTAAGCTGAAAGGGACAACAGCATCCAAGCTGCAAAGGATGAGGCCGGTCATGCTGAAGACCAGGCCAAGAGAGCTGAATCTGACAAGGACAAGACTCTTTACGAGCTGAACTCCCTAAAAGATAGGGTTGCAAAAGCCAACCAGAATGTTGCTCGAGCTGAGGCATCTTTAGAGAAGATCAAGAAGCACCACCAGCACTCTATTTGCATTGCCCGGGCACAAGGGGCAGAGTGGTTGGTTGGAGCAGATATGTTCCAGGACGTAGTGGCGGTTGCCTCAGCAAACACCACCATGGATATCTACAATGAGATTCGTGGGAAGGTGTTGCGACATTGGGCTGACTTCCCAATTGGCGAGCTGGCCTTCTTCGAGGGGGAGGAAATGGACGAGCAAGGAAAAAGCCTTGCCCCTCCATCTGATGCTACCGTGAGGCTAAAGTGGGAGCTAAACGAAGGAGTGTTAGTGTGGCCTCCATCAATGGTGGAAAAGGGAGAGGATACCAAGGGTCTACCAAGCTTTGATGCTTGGGTAGCAGAGCCCCTTGAGGTGCAGGCTGAACCATCGAGCACTCCCCCTTCCTTTCAACCTGTCGTTGCTCCAGCTCTCCTTTCCCCAGCTCAGTTTACTCAAGCTCGATCATCTCCTGCTCGACCTACTCCTGCGCCTACTGACGTGTCCATCCCTGTCGATCTGACGGATGATTAGTTTAGGATTATTTCTTTCCTTTTGTATTTTTGTATTGGTCGTTTGACCCATTTGAACACTTAAATGATTATCTCATGTTCTTCAATTGTACAACTTTTTAATAGAAATACAAATTTGGAGATTTTCTGAAATTTCTGCCTTTATTGAATTGTGTACCTCTTTCACATATTCTGAATACACTTTGTTAGTAAGATAATAATATACATGTTAACTATAAAACTTTCTAAGGTTATATATGTTCCAAGTGAATGGTAATTGACGACCTTGTAGATCTGCTAACAAATAAGACCCAGGTCGCTCAATACAAATAACCATGTAAGGACCTTCCCAGTTTGGAGGGAGCTTACCCAAGTGCGAATAAGCGTTAGTGAGCCCGACCTTGCGTAAAACCAAGTCGTCGACTTGAAATTGTTGAGCTCGTACCCTTTATTATAAAATCTAGCAACACGACTTTGGTAAGCATGTTTTTTATTCGACAAATTTCCCTAACTTCCTCGACAAAGTCTAGGTTTTCTCTCAGAAGTTGTTCATTGTCAGAATCATTGTGATGAGCTGACCCATTGGACGACAAACCAATTTGCACTGGGATTACGGCCTCAACTCCATAGGCAAGGTAGAATGAACTTTCACGAGTGGCCGAGCTAGTGGCTAAGCTAGGCGTGGTGCGACATAACCATAGTACTTTGTTGAGCTCGTCAACCCAATTAGATTGTGCCGCCAGGACGCAAGTCTTAAGACCACGTAAAATGATTTTATTCGCTGATTTTGCTTGTCTGTTTGACTGTGGAGTATACACAGAAGTGAGGGTCAGCTCGATTTTATAGTCATCACAGAACGACCTAAGTGCCGCTGCTCAGAACTGAGGTCCATTATCAGCGATTATTCGCATAGGAATGCTGAACCTGTGTACAAACGCATTGACTAAGGCACAAGTGCTTACGTATGTAATATATGTATGTTTTAAACTGTGAGTACCTGCACAGTACGGAATTGAATAAAAATTCCTCTATTTTCTTCTCAGTCGTTGTGGATAGCAATTTGGCTTCTATCCACTTAGTGAAGTAGTCCACAGCAACTATGAGGTGTGTGCAACCTCCCTTGCCTTTTGTAAAAGGACCGAGCAAATCTACCCCCCACTAGGCGAAAGGCCAGGGTGATATGAGAGATGATAGCCTCTCGCTTGTGCCAAAAAAGACTTTCACGTTTAGTTTATAAACAAACGTGAAATTTGTGTAAACTTTAAAAGGAGCTCGGTTACTTGGCATATGAATGTCATCAACATTGAACTAACAGGCCGAGCATTTTTTGACATACTTTTGCACATCCTCAACCATGGTAAGCCAATAGTATCCATGCCTTAAGATCTTATAAGCTAGCGTTTTTCCTCCGATGTGTGTGCCACACACTCCCTCATGAACTTCTCTTATAACATATTCAGCTTCATAAGGAGTGAGGCAATGTAACAAAGGCATTGAAGCTGCTCGCTTATATAACTGATCCTCAATTAGCATGAAATTGCTACCCTGCGTCTAATCAACCGAGTGTCAAATGGATCTTCTAGCAATTTACCACTTTGTAAGTAATCAATCAAAGGTGTAGTCCAGCTCGATGAGGAGGGGTCTGTGCTTAGTATTTGACACTCAATTGCTAGATCGGTACAGCTCAGTGCATCTTAGACTTCGACAAATGTAGTCCTCTAAGGGTTGATTTCTTGTAAGGAAGCTAACTTTGATAGTTCATCAGCTCATCGATTATCCACCCTCGATATCTTATCAATTTGGAACGAGATAAAGCCTGATTTTAATCTATTGACCACAGAGGCGTATCGACCAAGCTAAGGGTCTTTGATGTCAGAGCTTCCATTTACTTGATTTACTACAAGCTGGGAGTCACTAAAGACTCCTATGCTTTGCGCTTTCAGCTCAGACGCTAACTTCAAACCATAAATAAGTGCTTCATATTCGGCAGCATTATTTGTTGTTTGAAATTTGAACCTCAGGGTATACTTGGATTTGAAACCATCTGGACCCATTAGCACTGCTCCTACTCCTGATCCTTCAACATTAGCTGCCCCATCTACATATAAAACCCATATTGGGTATGATTGTGTGGCTTCCTCTGCGGCTGTTAGTCAACATTCTACCAAGAAATTTGTCAAGACTTGGCCTTTAATGGTTGTGCGCGGCTGAAATTTGAGGTCGTACTCGCTCAACTCAACTGCCCATCCAATTAGCCGACCAAAAAGTTTTGGTTTCTGCAATATGTTCCGTAATGGCAGGTCGGTGTACACAACAATCTCATGGGATTGGAAATATGCCCTTAGCTTTCAAGCGGCGCATACGAGTGCAAAAGCAGCTTTCTTGGCGATTGGATAATTCCGTTCAGCACCCTACAAGACTTTACTTGTGTAACAGATTGGTTTCTAGTGTTTATCTTGCTCTCTTAATAGAATTGAGCTAACTGCCTCATCTGTGACCCCCAAATATAAGTATAAATGTTCTCCTTTGACAGGCTTGGAAAGTAAAGGTGGTGATGCCAATATTGTTTGAGTTCATCAAAAGCCTGCTGGCACTCACTAGTCCACTAAAAGTTCTTGGGCTCTTGCAAAGCTTTGAAGAATGGAAGGCATTTTTCTGCCAACCTTGCAATGAATCTGTGTAGAGCGGCAAGACGACCTATTAGATGTTGTACATCCTTTATTGTTTTAGGGGGTTCCATTTGCTACATGGCCTCAACCTTGTCTAGGTTCACCTCAATCCCCTTTTTGGACACTACATACCCTAAGAATTTGCCTGATTCCACAGCGAATGTACATTTGAACGGATTTAGCTTCATTTGAGCTCGACGTAGATTCTAAACTGTCTCATTTAGGTCGCCAATATGATCTTCAGCTTGTTTACTGGTGACAATCATATCATCCACATATACCTCAATATTCCTACCGATCTGTAACTTAAAGATGACCTGGATCAACTTTTGGTATGTCGCACCAGCATTCTTCAAACCGAACGGCATCATGACATAATAGCAAATTGCATCTCCTGCATAAAATGCCGTTTTTTCCTAGTCGTCTAACAATAATTGAACCTAATGATATCTTGAGCTAGCATCAAGGAAGCTCATGCGTTCATGTCTCGTTGCTCGTTCTACTAATTTCTCCACATTAGGCAAGGGGTGTGGATCTTTGGGACACGCTTCATTCAAATTGGTGAAGTCAATGCACATTCTCCACTTGCCGTTAGGTTTTTTCACGAGCACAAGGTTGGATACCCACTCAAAATATTCGACTCTCCTAATGAAGCCTACCTGCAATAGTTTCTGTATTTCTTCATCTATAGCAGCCTGCTTCTCAAGGCCAACAAGGTGGCACTTTTGAACCACTGGCTTTCTAGTGGGATATGTACTGAGCTTGTGGACTGCAAATTCCGTTGGGATGCTAGGCATTTCATCTGTTGTCCATGCAAATACATCCTTGTTAGCCTTCAAAAATTCCAGGAGCTCGGTTCTTTCTCCTAGTGTGAGCTTGGTTCCTATTTTCACTGTTTTCTCTGGTTCATCTAGGTTTAAAGGGACTGTCTCGACCGATTCTACTGGCTCGGCTTTCTGCTCCACGTTCTCGGGTCGATGATCTATGTCAGATATGGTCATTGTCTGTTGACTTGGTTGGCTCGGTCTAGAAACGTCTGCACCAGAAGTCTTAGGTGCTGCTGCGAGCTCAACCTTCTTAAATGTATCTTGGTAGCCAGTTCTAGCCATTTTTTGGTTCCCTTTGAGCACTCCTACACGGTGAGGAGTTGGGAACTTCATACAAAGGTGTGGTTGAGAGATGACAGCTTTCAATTCGCAAAGTGTAGCTCTTCTAATTATGGCATTGAAAGCTGACTCCATCTTGACCATTAAAAAGTCTATTGACGCCATCCTAAACCGTGGTTCAACGCCCACGTAGATAGGAAGGGTAATTACTCCCTCAACAAGGACAGGCTGATTGTCAAACCCGTAGATTGGCCCTTCATACTTTCTTAAGGAATTTGGGTTTAGCTACATCTTCTAGAAACAACTCCAATAGAGGATGTCCGAAGAGCTGCCTGTGTCCATGAAGACCTTGTTAACATTATGATTGCCAATATGAACTGTTGCCACAGAAGGGTCAGCATGGGGCATCATAACATCTAGCTTCCCCTCTGATTGCTTGTAATCAGTCGGGCTGAACGTAATTAGTGCATTTTCCCACTCTGCTTCTTCAAAGGGTCGTTTCAGAGGCCTATTCTTGTTTACTGTCATCAGTTGGCCAGCATAAGCTTTATGACCTCGGGCACTTTGACCACCTAAATGCATGCCACTAGAAATCATGTTGATTGTGCCTGAAGGTGGGGGTATCCCGTTGTAACCAACCCCTCTATGGTTGTTTTGATTCTGTGTGGATGTTTTCTGTCCCTGTCCTTGTCTATTGAATGGGCGTCCTGTGTAAGCTCTACTAGGTTCGGATGAGTATTGACTCCCTTGATAAGGATTTTGATTGTTGCCGAGCTGATATCCTTGCCCCTAAGATCGGCCATATTCTTGCACAAAATGGGTCTGATTGGGTTGCTGGGTGTAACGTTTCTGTACATATCCCTCCAATTTTCCATTGTGGGCTAAGAATTCCAGCTCGTCCTTCAAGCTTTGACAGTCCTCCGTATTGTGGCCGTATCCGCAGTAATAGTCACAATATTTACTTCTGTCAGCTCATGAGGAATCATGCATTTGGGGAGGTGGTCTCTTGACCCAGTGTTGTATCTGTGCCAATATCTAAGACCTTGATGAGCTTAGTGGAATGTAATTGGCATATTTTGGGAAGGAAGGTGGCTTTCCCCTCTGCTCGCCAACTTTCTGTTTTTTCTTTTCCTCCCTTCCCTTTGACTGTCTGTGCTCTTTACCTTGTCTGTCGTCAACTCGTCGCTTAGAGGATTGAAAGTCTTTGGACAATATAAAGCTTGTCGACCTGTCATTTACTTCATTCCACGACTTAGGCAGATTCTCTAGCAGGTCGTCTAGGAACCAGCCGAGTTTGAGGCCATGCAACAAGCAAACAGACAGATGGTATCAGGGACATTATCAATGTCCAGAGTGGACTTGTTGAACCGTTGCATATAGTCCCTTAAAGACTCTCCCTCCTTCTGATGAACCTGCATCAGTTTAGTGGTAGTGCGTTTAATTTCCCTCTGACTCGCAAACTTGTTTGAAAACAGAGTAGCGAACTCAGAATAGGAAACTATGGAATGTCTAAGGAGCTTATGGTACTATCTTCTGGCCGTTGATTTTAATGTCGTAGAAAAACTTTGCACATCATAGCATCAGCGGTGTTCTGGATTCTCATAATGGCCTAATAAGTATGTAAATGTTCGTTTGGGTCTCCCGAGCCATCATACATCTCTAAATGAGGGATCTTAAATCCCTCTTGATATGGTTCTATCGTAATGGATAAGTTGAGAGGGGCATTATCCAAGTCAAAAGCCTGCTGGCGCGAGTTGGGACTTTTCAGCTCGTCAATAGACCTCTGCACATCTTTAAGTTATCTTTCAAGATCAGCATTCTTCTTTAGCAATTCTTCCCTGTGCCTGGACAAGCTAGGTTCTGGATTTAACTTCCCACTTCCTTTTGATCTGGTTGGGACCACTACATTACTCAAGGCTAGGGAGTTACGGGTTACAACTACTACTGCTAGCTGCTCACCCTTATTCAGTAGGGGAATTAGGGGGTCATCAGGGATTAAACAATAGAGGATTTTTCCCATGGCCATTTCTAAAACTCTGGTTCTTTCTTCTAGCTCGGTTGTCCGAGCAGTTTCCATAGGTCTTTCAGGTCGTGAAGTATTATGCTTGGAATGCCTTCGTCTGGCTTCTGCCGGGATGTGAAACTATTCTTCAAGTCGGGTTGCATACCCAATAGGTGTTCTTTCATCATCTGAGGTGTTTGATTGTTCTTACTCTGCACCACTAATGAAAAGGTTTCTTGGCATTGTTTGGAAGTCATTGAGGTCACTTTCCAAGAGCTAAGTATCGTCCTGGTCGTCCATGTTGCCTCTCGAGGGGCGGTTTCCTGTAAAGGTGCATACCATTTTAGCTCAAGTTAACTAAATCATAGTGCTTTTTGCTTAGTTCCCACAAACAACGCCAAATGTTTGGGCAGCTTCACGATCTAAGATTGTAGACACCTTTAGCTACTTCAATACTTGAAATTCCTGAGGATGTTTCCTCGGGAAAACACTCCATCGCTCAAGTTAGTAACACTCAATATTCTAGAGAGAGATGTTGTCAAACAGTAGTTGCAGAGAGAGAAGCGTAGTGGAGTTAATACCTTGCATGGAGGTAGTTGGGGGTATTTATAGCCCCATATACTGACATGAGTCCAGACGTGTATGCATCCAATTGGCCCATGTGTTACTGCCCATGTGGGTATGTCTCCTTATTTTGGGCTAGTGAGTATATAATTGGGCCTGTTGTATATGGCACGGATTGGATGTTGGGCCTAATCCCAACAATGCCCTCCTTGGTATAATACCTCCCTCGATGATGCTATCAACAAGGAACTAAGAAAGCACATCGGTGAAACTCAATGCATCACCAATGTGCATGAAGTTGCTAATCTTTACTCACTAGACCGGTCTCTGAATTTCTACAATATATAAAGCATTGTATTTCTTGTCGGTGATGTTCTATTTTCACCAACATGGGATACCATGCAAAAATTCTATCATCGGCGTGGTTACCAAAAATCTTGTAGTAGAAACAACAAGTTACCAGAAATCTTGTAGTAGAAACAACAAGGTAATCCAAATCTGCATTAGTCCCACTTCACCGATGTAGTTTACCATGCTATTTTAGGCATATGCACAATAAAATGTTTCATTTCATTGATTATAAATGTGCATCACCGACATAGTATACAATGCTACTTACTATCCACCTTCACCGACAAGAATTACAATGCTAATTTATGAATTTATATTTCCTGCCCACAATCATCGATGTGATTTACCATGGAAAGATTGTCTAGTGAAAGAACAACCCACCTTCACCAACAAGGGTTACAATGCTAATGTCCTTGGTAAGAAAAAAAAAATTTTTCCCACCTATCTTTACCAATATGACTTTCAATGCTAACTTTCTCATAGTATAAAAAAAATAGTGTCATGCCCCAAAACCGAGAACGAAATAAACGCCGTACACTTGTGAGGAGCTCCCACAAATGTAGAAGGCTCAAGCCTACCTAAATCATATCTAGCAATTCACATAACTTAGATCCAAAGTCTCAAGTAAAAACTAAGTCTTCAATAACCAAGGTTTGGCTAGGCCAAAGTGTACAAAATTACATAACTTAATCAATATAGAAAATGGCTATATCCAATAACCAAAGGAACTTGGTATACAAAAGAATGGTCGGTCTATCATCCAACATCTATGTCAAAGTATGAGTGACTAATGACCTAACTCCAAAACGATCTAAAGACCAAAATACAATGACTAGCCTTCTAGCTCGTCACTCCCCTTGGTTTCTGTGTCTCAAGTTTCACTACCTGAAATAATAGACAAGGAAAAACTATGAGATATCTCAGTAAGTAAAATATGGACAATCCTCGTTTATAGTTAAGCATGCCATCAAGTGTAATAAAATTTTAAGAAAAACAATATGAATACGGGAAATGAAATAGACGTCTCCTCTATAAGTCATGACCAGTGTTTATAAACCTCCCACTGGTAGGCACAGGATTTGTTAGTGTATGATCCCACTAGCAGGATAACGAGTATAACAAGAATGAACCGGTTCCATAAGTAACATGTCGACATGTGCTAGCATTTATAAACCTCCCACTAGCGGGCACAAGTATTACATGATCACATTGGAGACTAAAACAGGTTAGAAAGTACATTTCAAGTAAATTTAGGAAAGCATGTATAATAAGGAGTAAGTAAGATACGTTAAAAGCTTTTATAAATAGGCTTGCTTAGCTAATTGAAATCCAACTTGATAAAATAGGATTTAATCATTGTAGTTAAGCCAAAACAGACTTTTAATCCTGCCACCATCTCAAAATCAATAAAAGTCATGGTTCAAACTTACATTTTAAAATCAAGAACTAATCATAAATTTATTTACCTCCCCTTGTCGCTATACCGTAAGCTAGAATTCAAGTCTCAAGGAGGCGAAGGTGTCTTAGAATCTATTTCATATCAAGAACAACGTGATCACAACATGCCTCATTCAACTAAATTGGTCTTAATTCTAGCACCAAGTTATAACCCAAAGGAACAATTTCTCCCTATCTCATCTTGCCATTTTTACCCACCAAAACCTTACTAGCATATGTATATTAATTCACATGCATAGCCATATTAAAAAAAAAAAAATCCAAATATGACAGTAAACATTCCAAAAATATTCAGCAAGGAGCATCAAAATTTTGGTAGATGGCAGGAAATTCTGGGGAAAACAGTGCAGAAAACAGCATGGGAAAGTGCAGGAAAAATACAGAATTTTCTTGTTTAAAAGAGTGTAGAAAACAGCAAGGGAGAGTGCAGGAAAATGCAGAATTTTTTGGGTTAAAACAGTGCAAAAAACAGCAGTGGAAGGTGCAAGAAAATGCAGAATTTTCTGGGTTAAAATAGTGCAGAAAGCAGCAAGGGAAAGTGTAGGAAAATGCAGAATTTTCTAGGTTAAAATAGTGCAAAAAACAACAGGGGAGAGTGCAGGAAAATGCAGAATTTTTTGGTTTGAAACAGTGCAGAATACAACAAGGGAAATGCAGCAAAAATGCAGAATTTTTTCTTGGTTAAACAGTGCAGAAAATAGCAAGGGAAATGCAGAAAAATGCAAGTAAAGTCTAAGCAGAATAGAGCAAACAACAGCAAGAATAAGTGCAGGAAAATGCAGATAAATTCTACACCATAACAGGTATAAATTTTGGACACAACAACAGAGAGTTCAAGACAAAACAACTGCAAAATCTAAGCCAAACAGCAGCAAAACTCTAAACAAACACAACGACCAAATGGAAAATTTCTTAAAACAAAGCAGCACAAATTGAAGTGTGAGAACTACAACAAAGTAAACATGACAGCACTTGATCTCATACTAACAGTTGCAGAAAACATCAACATTGTTGTAAGTTTAGAGGCAAGATAAATATAAACAAATTCCAAATTCACCTAACATAACGCTGTCACGATCTTTTAAGAAGATAAAGAACAAAATACCTATAGATCCTATGCTATTTCCCAAATCTAAAATAGTCAATATTCAACTAAGTCTACCAAAATTAGAGAAAGAAAAAGATTGGTTTCGTGCTCACATCATACCAGAAAATTGTGAGTGAGAGTGATGGTTCCTCCTAAAATGGAAACCCAAATGGTAGAGATAGCCGAAACTTGAGGGGGGGCAAGCGTTTGCTTGTAGAAAAGGGGAAACCCAGGGCTGCCGAAGGTGACACACGATTGCGGTGGGGTGGGAGAAACAATGAGCTGCTGTCTAGGGGATTTATGAGATGTGGGTGAAAGTATTTGAAGGAGCGGAATTGGCAATGCTAGTTGATGAAGGATGGCGAATAGTTGTGATGGACTGAGGATGGTGGGGATGGGTTAGGGTTCCTAAATGGGAGAATCAGGAGCTTATACTCTCAACCCCTACCCTTTTTTTTTTTTTAGCTCCACCCCTCTAGGTTTGAAATTTGCGACCATTAGGCTCTGTAAAAGATAGTTTCTCCCACATAAGTTTCTAACATAAAGTTTAATATTTAAGAAAATTTGGGATATTACAAATAGTATCACCTGCAATTCTTTCTCCATCATTATTTCTACAAATACCATAAAAACTTACACAAATCTATCAATAATTCTATTGCATGTCCACTATTCCATCACTATTAACTCTAATTCCAACAACATTTAAACAAAATTTCCATACTATTCATTAATTACAAAATCATTACACAATTTTATGAGCACATAAAAAATTACAAATGAATGGATAAAAAAATTTTAAATTTTAACATACATCATTTATAAACCCATATGTATAATGATAAAATATCACTTACACCTTTAATCGAACCTTCTGAAATTAACACTTAAAAATCTTACTCTCCCTACAAAATCATTAAACATGAAATTAGAAAGTGAAAGAATGCAAAATAATAATAATAATAATAATAATAATAATAATTAACAAAATAACTTTATTCCAAAGTAAAATGAGTATAAGATATATTAAATAATAACTCACTATAAATTATCCCTTACAAAATAAAATTTTTTTTATGTTAGTAACTTAATTACCACAAAATTTAAATTAAATCAACATAAAGTAAAGAACTCATGGTATATATATTTTGATTTTGGCCTTATACCTTACTTTCCAATATAATGTCAATTCCTACAAAAACAAACACACACAAAAGAAAGGTAATTAGTAGAGTGCTTAAGAAATTCCAAAAATAATAGCCAAGTCAATGCTTTACAAATTATTTATTAACAAAGTAGTTAATTTTGTGGGAGCATGAAGGAGTAGAAATGGAGAAGTGAGGAGAATGTTATTTTGAAACTTGGATAAAGGATGAGTAGGTTAATTTGATGGGAGGATAAAAGATGAGGAAGGAAGAAAAATGGAGGAGAAGGAATGAGAATGAAGAGTGCTCTATAATTTTCAGTATAAATAGAGTTACTTAGTATTGTATAATATATTATTAATAGATATTTTTAATTTCATTAATAGCTTATCACCAAAGTATATTAAAATTCTAATTATTTAAATTGTCACAAAACTTCTCTTTTATTTAAATTGTCCTACCAAAATAAAATCAAAACTTCCATCACATTCATCGATGTGTAATGCAATGTTGAATTAGCCACAATCACCAACATGTAATACAATGTTGAATTAATTAATTAGTTTTCATTTATTATGAAAAACCCTTACACTTTCGTCGATGTGGTACACATTGCTAAATAGCTCTTTCATCGATAAGTGCCACATTGCTAAAATTAATAAATTTCTTTCTGCCAAAAAAATGAAAAATCTGACTTAGAGTACAAATACAATACAAAATCAACTAGAAAATATTATACAAATAAACGAGACTAAAAACAAATTTCTAAATTAATTCAAGATATTAATTTACATAAAATTATCTATACATCTTTATATAAAATAAAGTTAAATGAATAAATTTCAAAAAAATTTTAATTTTCAATTTTTGAATTATTATTTTTTTAGTTATGTATAGATTAACTACATTGATGAATATAAAATAAATTACACACATTTTGTTCTTTTTAATATATATATATATATGTATATATTGGGGCTTCTACCAACGTGGTTCATATTGTTTAAAAACCCCTCACTGACAAGTGCTACATTGCTGAAATTAAGTACTGTGCAGGAATCAAGTGCGAAAGCCTCATGCTTTCACCAACATGGGTTGCATTGATAAAATCACTTTCACTAACGAGTACATACTGCTAAAATTAAATTCTTTGATCGACATGGATAACATTGCTAAAATAGCTCCTTCACCTACAAGTGCCACATTGTTGATATTAAAATTTATCAACAATGAGCATTACATTGTTGATATTCAATTTGCCACTAAGCATTCCTTCAAATTTACAAATAATACCTGCACAATCATTAATCATATAAGCCCAATGGTCAATTTATCACACAACTAACACTGTCTACTTATATAATTCAACATATACCTAGTCATACAAAGTTAAAATTAACAACCACATCACATGCAAGCAAATTGACAAAGTAACAATTCTTAAAAACTAAATCAAAGCAATTCAGTGACTAGAAAATAATAAAAATTATTTATTATATAAGAGTTTATATTACATTATATGAAACACATTATGATTATTAAAAAGAATTTAAATGATATATTATTATATATAAATTAACATGAAAGGGTATGATATGAGGAGAGAAACATCATAATATTTGTACCATTATATTGGCTATCAAAATATCCTTACCTATCCATTTAACAACAATCATATTCACCATGAAAAAGTTGTTGATAGATTAGTGAAATATATATTAATAAATCAAGGTATAAAAATTTAATCATTAACAAAAAAAAATACATGTGAATAAACAAACAAGAAATATCAAAATTTAACGGTAAAAGATCTAAATTAAGTTGAGAGAGTGACGAAAAGCAAATATTAGAAAGGAAAGAAAGGTTATTTATATACATCTTTGGAAGGAATTACTGACATATCTCATCATACCAACTTTTTTTATTAAAAAGTAGTTATAACTACTAGTTAACTATAAAAAACCATTAACTACTAGTTAATTGTTCAAAAGCATTTAGAGACATGTCGGTGTAGTTTAAAATTACCAACATGCCATACGTGAGGATTACCTAGGAGCATCAATGGCTGTTGGAGGAATTTAGTGTTATGTAATACACCAGTGATAGTTGGAATCACTAATGTATACCACCTTGCTAAATTCCTTAATTGCCAAAATAATTCAACAAAAATTAGTAAAATTTAGCAAGATGTGTTATGTTGCTGATAGTTTTTTTTTAGTAACATACTTTATGTTGCTAATTCTCAAGTCCTCAAAACACATGAAATTAGCATTGTTTAACCAATTACCAAGCTAATTCACGTTGGTAATGACAAAGTATCAACAGCATAGCACCCATGTTGCTAATACTCTGCTTGCTAATGCTCTGCTTGCTAATGCTCTGCTCTCTAGTAGTGCTTACATTATAATTCAAATTATATATTACTCAAATGAGTAATGATAGGGAGGATGAAAATTTGAGACCAATGACATGACATATATCACGTTATTAAATTAATTAGTATATACAATATCATAAGTTCTAAAAAATAAAAAGAATAAATAATTAAATAATATAGAGTCCACCTTTTAATATTTTAAATAACATACCTTATGCCACATCATTGGTCTCAAATTTTAGCTCCACATTTTCATTCCATTTATCATTATTCTACTCAAATTTAATTTAACTATTAAACTTTAGTTCATACTCTAATTAAATTTAAACTTTCATAATTTACTAATTATCACTTCAATTCAACTTTTAATTAAATTTTAAACAATGTTATTGTGCCGAGGTTCCAATCTCTGATTCCTTATTCCTTTTTGTCTATATATGAAAGGAGCAACTAGGTCTTAAGCCCTCAAGTTTATAGGATTATAACTTTTAAACTCTTAAATTTAAAAGACATTATTTAAGTCTTTAAAATTAAACAAACTTATTTTAATTTAGGACATTAAAGTTTTGATTTTTTAGAGTTTAATGGTTTTAATGTAAAGGTTTTAATGTAAATGTTTAATATTTCATGTGAATTTAAGGTATTAGAATTTAAATTTTTTAAGATTTAGTGTTTAGATCATTAGAGTTTAAATTTTTTTAAATTTAATATTTAGGATATTAAAGTTTAGATTTTTTAAGGTTTAATATTTGAAGGTATTATAATTTATGATTGTGATTATGATTGCAGTTAAAACTCGATTAGGACCAAAAATTTTAAAAACAGAGCTAATAAGATTTCAAAAATAAAAAATTTAAAGTGAGAGAGAAAAAGAAAAAAGTTATAGGAATCGTCAGTCCCATCAACCAAGGACCTTTGATTCTCTAAATATAAAATAAATACCAAATAGGTTTTTTAAAATCTGAACTTAATTATATTTTACTATATTATAATAATTAATGGAGGTGTGAGGAAATATGAATGATTAAGAAAAGATGATAGAGACATGAGAATAACATGAGAAAAAACAATAACAGATATAATATTAATAGATGAGTAGGAATCTATTTACATATAAATTTTATGTGTTACATTTATATAAAATTTTAACTATTTATCTTTCTACTTTCAATAATTAAGATTTATCATGATTTTTTTTTAAAAAAATGATAATTATCTTTAATAAATATGATAAAGAGAAAAAGAGGGGAATATATGGTAAAAAGATAAATATAATGATAAAAATGTGATGGGAGAGCCAAGAGATGAACTTCTAAGAAAAATGAAAGAGAGATAAAGTAAATACAAGTGAAAAAGTATTAAACAATAATGCTAATAAATTATGCTTTTCATGTTTTGATTCAAAACATTTGTAAGTATATACAACTAAATAAATGAAACTTGGGGTAAAAAAAATATAATACTGGTCACATATGCAAAAATTGATTAGAATAAAATAACATCAAAGGAAGAATAAGGGGAGAAAGATTAATTAATAATATACAAATTATTAATGAAAAATAATAAGTACATCCTCTAGTTTAATAACCTATTAACATCCACTAGTTGAGCCATTAAATATTTTAGTTGAAATATTTCTCACCTTGAATTTAAATTTAAAAATAATAATTTTTTAATGAATGTGCTGTGAAATATATTGAACTAACAGGTATACCAATCATTATCTATTATTAATATATTTGGAGTTAACGTGTAAAGTACAAATAAATATAATGATAACATGTGAAGGGAGTAGGTTAAATAATGAGTCTCTAAAACAATTAATGAAAGGTGGAATCGTAAAGTAATAAGTGAAAAGCATAAGGAAATAATATTAAAAAATTTCTTTTTATGTTTTGATTTAGAAGATTATAATTACGATCTTCATGCATGAAGAGTTAAGAGGAAAGGAAGGGTAGTAGATGATAATAAAAAGTACAATGATATGTGCACCTATTGAACCAACGCTCAAGAGGACACACTGTATTAAAAATTTCCTAAACTAATGGTTCAGAATAAAATAGAGAAATACTTGTTCCAGTAGCCATTCAACTAGCCATGGCCTCAAAGAGGGAGCTAGCATAGGGAAAGGGGGCCGCAACTTTTGAAAAATGTTTCATATGGTACGAAAATATTGTTTTTTACAAAATTTTTATTTTTGAAATTTGAGTTATAGGAAGCATTCAAATATAAAGAAAATGTTTATGACTTAGTTAAAGGGATCATTTGTGAATAATTCTTACAAAAACACAATAATTTTATCTATGTAAGCACAAATATAAAAACTGTAATTTAAATTTAGTTATATTAATTATAATTTATATAAGTTTTTACATTTGTTATATATAATTTTTATTTGTATAATTATTATTCTATTAAACTAACAATTGAATTTATTTATTCATTTAAATTATATGTTGTACATTTAAAATTAATTTGATATATGTAACCTTATAAAAAAAACTATATTTTTATACTATTTATTTAATAGTACTAAATTATATGCTATTCAAAAATAGTAGAATTTATTTAATTAATTTAAATTTTAGCAAGAATGATATAAGTGATATGTGCATAAAATTAGTAATTGACTTAAAAATTAGTATAAATTGTATAATATAAATTGATAAATTACTCATAAAAAATTTAAAATTTTGCCCCCTAACACAAATTCCTGGCCTTGTCCCTGCATGGTCTACTCCCATTTCCAAATAGCTAGCAACAAGAAGTCTTGCCCTTGTCTATATCATCATCTCCTCCCCTGTTATTTCATTTTTAGCTTACGTAGTCGCTTGTGTTTAAGGGATGGAGAAGTAGATCCGTCAAAGTGCTTTTTGGAGATTTGCACTTCCTAATTGAAACGAAATAAAGTGTCTGGAATGTGGAGGCGATAATGGATGGGCAATCTAGTCAAGGAAGAAATTGCCATGATGGAGGCAACTACGAAGGTTGTAATGGACAAGCAGTACTTCAAGGTGTTGATTCCATGTTTCGCTCGAAGGGTCTTCAGTTCAAGCTACCAAATTGCTTCCAAAAATGTACTAAGTTATGGGTGATTGTGCTGGAGACACCTCTTCAAGTAGTTTTCATTCCAAATTTAAAGGAATTTGGCTTCTACTCTACTTCCAAAATGATCTTCATTGTGGCAAGTCAATGTTCTGGGAGATGCCTTTTCGAGTAGTTTTGCATTCCCAATTGTGAAGGGATTTAGCTCTGATTTTATTTACAGATTATGCTTACTATCCCCCAAATTTGGGTTACAGAGTATAACTTAGACAAGTGAGGATAACTTCTAAATGGCTGCTAAACAGCATTAAACCATTTATTTGCAACTAAACCAAAAAGGTGTACCCATGTGTGCTAATTTCGAGTGTACCTAGATCATTTCCTTGATAAAAAGGGTGCTACGCCTAGACAGGTAGGGAAATATATATATAACTCAAATAGAACTAGAATATTTGTAATGAATTGTAGTAAGAAAGAGCTAAATGAAGAAATATGAGAAGTAATATCAACTTAATATACTAGTGTGTGAAAGTACAAAAAGAAAGAAAACATAGGAAGGATAGGGGGATAATAATTAAAGATGAAAATAGATGAGAAATATGAAAAGATGTACCTACACAATATAGAAGAGTGAAAGTGAAATAAAAGAAAAAAAAATTAATGAAATGATATGGGAAAATCACTTCATAGATGATAAAAGATGACTATGTTAAAAACTTATAGGACTTATATGTGCTTTAAGGCATATCTTACTTACTGGCATATAATCAAACATTAGTTTTACTAAATTAACAAGTAATGAATTAATTAGGTGTTAAACTCCTAATTACGTGAAAATTAATAAAAATTGGGATCATCATATCAATGAACAAAAAACATATTTTTAATCATATATAGACCTCTCAATTTATTAAGTACATATGAGATTAATAACATTAATTTAGAATAACTATTTAAAATTAATATTATTCTAATTAATAATTATCATAAAGAGTCAATAAAAACAAACTGCACATAGCGAGGATATGGGGCTTAGTTTATTTAAGATTTTAAATTGTCTGTTTAGTATTTATTTAATATTTATCAAAAATTTTAAAAGATCTACTAGGTAATTATTCAATATTTATTCAACATTTTAAAAAGCCCATTAAGTAATTCTTAGTATTTATTGAAGATTTATTAAAAATTTATTGAGAATTTTAAAAAATTTATTAGATATTTATTTAAGATTTAAAAATTTTGACAATATAGTAAGAAAAATAGTAAAATAGCAATGCAATTCCTAGAAATCATATGTATATATATAACATAATATATAATTATTAAATTTTAAAACGAAATTTAATTAGAATTTAAATTAAAATGCAAAAGTTGAATTAAAGGATTGTAGTATATCACTCTTTTCGTTCATTTTGAATATAGTTATTTTTTTTAGGTATGAATTTTAAATAAAAATTTAATGATTTATATGAATAACAGTTAAAAAGTTTTTTCTTATATAAAATTTTTATTGAGTACTTTTATTTGATAAAAAAAA